AACCGGGATCTTTCACTATGAACCCAGTTACCCAAGTGTTTAACGAGATTATGCTGTCTTGGATACTTTGTTTATACTCCTCAAACCTTGGTGTTTTCTATGTTCATAGCGAGCTACATCAACTTCTTCTCCTACAGTAATTCTTGTTCTGGAATGAGGCGATCATTTCGACGGCAATACTGACTAAGCTCCATATAAAAGTGTAGAAGTTTTTGTAGTGTAGAGCTAAGTTTGATGTAGGACTCGATGATGGCGTGATTTGTCAGTGCCCACATTTCGTTCATGGCCTTGAAATAGCAACTAAAATGGTCCTAACGAGGTGAATGGTGTTCTACAAGCACCACTTGCCTAGAAATGCGCCAAGCATGCTTTACTCTTTATAGATATCAGGTAAAAATCAGGGGGTCGATCTCACTGGAATTGCTAGCTCAGCCAATGACATGCCATTTTTTTGGAATTTTTTTTTCAATCTCTACCTCATAATTCCCTCGTCTAGTCCGTCAAACGGACAGACGGGTCTCGTCGAATTACCACGTTACGCTTTCCATGCGACTGGTTTTCATGATCGGTGCCAAACAAATTGATGAGAAGATTAGCGCGGTCTAAATCATTCCTGCAAACTTTCTCTACGAAAAAAATTACCTGTTCCCTCTATTACCTACTTTGAATTCCAAAAAAGCTGTCGACCGGAGATTGGAGCGGGAAAGGTAAGGGAGTAGGTAGTAGTTGAATGAACAAGTTTTTCATACTTCTAAATTAACATTCGTACACTACACCATCCGACAAGTTCATATATACGACCCTTTCTCGTCAATAAGCCAAATAGAAACCTTCCCTCCTTCCAACTAGTTCCTCAATTTTCTCTTACTTTAGTTGACAACAAAGCTGATTATCAGATCAGGCGTTTCCTTTTCCCTCCCGCGTTCCTATGCTGCAAGCTGAAGGTAGATTGAGTGCTCAGAAACATAGATTTAGGTAGGGACCACTCATTACTGCATTATTTTACCTGCTCAACTCCGGTCGTAGTGAGCGACTTCAACGAAAATCCAAAAAAACTTGAGCTGGGGCTAGGATTCTTCTCGTTCAGTCCAAACCAGGGCTTGGTACAGGTCCGCCATCTTCCTGTTCCATTTACCGTAATTCGCTCCAAACAAATTTCAGGCAATCAAGATGTGAATGAACATGAAAGGAGACGAACATACGCGACACATAATAGCTGTTCGAATCGCTCATGTGAAATAACGTCCGCCACCAATAAAGTGACATCCGCGACATTTGTCGCCGTCCTCGATTGGTAACGGCCAACGGAACTAGCGGTAGTGACGGGAAATTGTACATGGCGCTAAGATCTACAATGGAGCGGTCTACGTCCAACAAACTTTGAGCTAATTCGCGATAGAACTAGTTCCGGGCTACTCGATGCTAACTACTGCACCATGTCTTACTGTTAGCTGCGATAGAGATTTTCTGCCTCCTTTGGTTGCTTTTTTGGCCTCCACCGAGACCGTCAGAATGAAAACAGTCGTGAATCGTGGTAAAATCCGTGCTTGTTTACCTTTTGGCCTTCAGTAAATATTTCCAAAGACGCTAAGGATTTATCTCATAGTATAGTCTATCAAATCCTACCATCCACACACCTCTGGGGAGTTCCTGTCGTTTTCACTCAGCGTCTTCGCAGCCCTTCCTGATTCCTCTTTGCTTTACATTCGTCTTCAATCCTTTTCAGCTTTGAATTGCTACAATCACATCGCTCTGACATTGCCAGTTGTCAGGAGGATATGTTCAAAGATATTCGTGAGTTGACTGCGAAATCGTTGCTGCTGCAAACCAGCGTTCCAGGGATCAGTTATTCAGGGTTCCTTACGTTTCCGTCTTTCATTTAGAGTCGTACAAATGTTGGAAAGCACCTATGTCTTCGCAGGGAGAAGGTGTACTTCAAGATGTTGTCAGTGTTCGGATGAGCTTGTCCCCGGTTCTCCTAATCTCCATTCACTCGAGCACAGTATCGAAGACTTCGAATACCCATAGCGGGTTTCCGAGTACTGAAAAATGACTGAACCATACCTCATTGCAACTGACTTCGCAATAGTTTGTAAGCTCTCAAGCTTTTCTCAGCTCTGGTGGTTCTGTTACCGAGCTCACGATTATGTTTTGTCGAGAAGCAGCATATTAGTGTTCTTCCCTAGATTACGGCACCATTTCTTGTCTCAAGCCTGCACACATTGTAATAGAAAGATAGTTTGTTTTTCTTTCTAACTAACGGTGGTGGCAACGACAGTTGGGTCTTAACTAGCTGGTTCTCACTGCCAGCGAATTGGGTGCGAAAGTCGTTGGTGTTGAGCCATCGTAAAAACGAAAACTCGTCCTGCTCACTATCATTCCGGTTTTTCCGATTAATGTTGTTATAGTGTTTTGCTATTTGTTAGCTGAAGAACCAGCTACTATCATCAGTAGCTATGAGTATGAGCAAAGACAACTATCCCAATAAGAAAAACCTCAGGGCGTATGCTGACGTCTGGAGAGCGATACCGTAATTGTACTCAAGTAGCTATCCATTACTCATCTCTTCCTCTACTTATCGGGCTTCAAAATGATAAGGGTTCAAATAACTTTTCATATTCTCCTCCTTCAACTATACTCTGGCTACTGCTGCCAGCTTAACTTTGCCCAAGTCGGCATACTTTACTATGGTGGCGATGGTCAAGTGGTTAGAGAAGCTATCGCTGGATTCAAACACTCAATTTGATTGACTCTTTCACAGCTCAACCAACTTTTCTTCAGATTCATAACTGGACCTTTTCCAGCTACTTACTCTGCTAATTTAGCCTATTTTCAAGCTTATTAGAAAATTTCCTACGGACCTTTTTTCCTTGAGGTTACCTTCAATGCAAAATTATGGTTATGCCAATTTCTATACACGTCATCATCGGTAAGTAATAAAGTTCAGGCTAAAGTCGAAGTTAAATTTCACAGCTTGGCTTTCCCTATTTATTTCGTTTCATCTTTTTCTCTATTCTCTTTCTCTTTTCTCTTTCTTTTAATTTTAGTTTTTCATTCATATTCATGTTTATCCACTGAAAATTACTTTAGCATCTTTCGTGAGCCTTGCACTTATTTTGGCATACTGTTCCTCATGCAAGTTGAAATTCAAGGACTATTTATTGTCAATAACATTAAAATATTATTTCTTCTGATTGAGAAGCCACTACCATATTTGCGTGGAAATTTTTTATTTTCACTTCTAGTCCTTGTGATAAAAACGGATTAGGTATGAACAGAAAAAGAGTAGATAAAGGCAGTAGACTGAAGATTTGACAGGTTTTATGATTTCCAGTAATAAGACAACCTTAACTTTGATTGGTTTTTGTATAACTGACCCCCCTTAACAAGAAAACTCGCCCTTCAAGAATTCCTCGAAGAACCAATTTACACGAGCAGTTGCCAAATTTCCAGCATATGGTTATGTGGTGGATTCGGACATGGAAACACTCAATCAGGCTTGTAATCGTATTTGCCTGGCTCTAATTATGGGTTTGGTAATAGGAAGTCTTCATAGTTCATCTATACTTTTTAAATAAATTATTGATTTTCCTCTTCGATACTTTACACTTACAACTTGTTTACGTCTAGCACCCTAAATGAGTAATGTGATAACCTTGCTCTCCTGATTTCTGATTCAATTTCGAGCGCAGCATTAGACATCGGCGTACTCCGACTAGCCCTCGATATGTTTCACTTCAATGAAGTTTCAGTACTCCTTCACACTTTTTTACAAAAGACTTTTCTGAATTTTTTTCATTCAAATGGATTTCAGTTGAGTTGGTATGCCTTCAGGTAAATGATAAGAAAATTATGAAAATTAATAATATAAATAAATAACCGATTAAAGTTACAAGATATATCACAATTCTTTCAGTATAATGCTAGGATCTGAATGAAAATGAAGGCATAGTCCGTAACTGAAGTTGTTTCTCTTTCCGAACACTCCCACCCGTTCCTCTCCATCCCATTCCATCTTTCATGAGCCTGTGAACATTCTAACCATTGGGCCACTTAAGTGCGAACGCAAAAGTGGGACACTTTTCAGTTTCAGCTTTTTCCTAGTAGTTCCTGCCTCTAGTCGTTCACTCGTCATGCACCATGTACTGGCTTTTGAACAAAAATCGCCGAGTCGTTAAGATGCTTCTTTATAGACTAATTTTTGATCCTCCAAAGGCGTCTTTTGTTCCTGCCTCTCATGTATCTTCTTCGTGGGACCGTTATCAGGCCCATCATACTCAGCACAGATGCCAGCCAAGTCTCAATTCCTTCAGCCACTTTTTTCTTGTCTTTTTGTATGTATTACCTCTGCCAGTATGTTACATAACCGATTGGCGCCTCTATCGATGTCTATGAAGGAATTGGCTGGTTTCTCACAGACTATTCAAGGGAATAAAGGAAATATAAAATACTCGCGCGGCCTATGTAATGAAGCGGTTAAGTGCAAATCTCCAAGTGGCGAGTAGGTGCAGGATCAAGTCTTGTCGGTGATGGGAGGCTTCGCCCTTAGGGCCTCCGGATGTGACAGAGAGCGCTATTTGATCAAGATTGTGGTCCTTCAGCCAAAGTTGATCAGATAGTTCGATTCGGACCTTTCTCGAGCGGCGTTCCAGTTCAGAACTATTGCTAGTGTAGGTCTGGTTGAACGTTGTTTTAGATACCCATAATGCTGGCTCAGAATCTCGCGAAGTGGGTTCTCATGAGAGGATGCTCACCCTTACAATTGGAACTGTGAACCATTTTGCCTTCTGAAGCTAATTGTTTTTCAAGAAAAATCACTATAAGTTAAGATCATCGTGAGCTCTTGAAAACTGAGAAAGTTCGTATGTGGGCTAGCTAGTGAAGTGGACAAGTGCGATGTTGAGAAGATCTCCAAGTAGGCGTTAAAGTCCTTTTGTTAACGATACATTTTATTCTCGACTTAATGATCTCGTGGTATGAAAAAGCGCCCTGATCGTTGTTTAGTCAGGATGTGCACCAATTCGTGTCACCGTAGCGCCATAATCGTCAGAAAGTGCATCCGGATCGTGTAGTTTTCCGTCGAGAAAAGTTCGAATCGACGGTGTATAACCCTCGATTTCCTTGATTAGTGTATAGCTCTTTAGAAGTGGAAAGTCTCGATCATTTTCGCCTAAAAGCGAATTGCCGATGGCTCCATAAAGACGCCGAGGTACATATGTAGGTATTGCTCTCATTAGAAAAGAATCACTACGCCATATGCCTCTTTTAAACTCTCTTCCCTATTTGGTGTATCCCATGGACAGTCATTGCCTTCTCTGAAACGACACTATGTACGAATAGTCTTGCTTTCAAGCGGTAAAGGGAATGGACACGATTCCATTGACTCTGAAGGCTTGAGAGGCTCCGCCGGCTTGGAAGATATTTGGTCTGAGATATGATCCAGGTAGCTCGTCCAACGGCGCCCTTTCAATCTCACTCCAACTATGCCGTCCTTATATTTGCTGGTCACCGTCGTTGCTTACAAGGGTTGTCTGCTGAAACCCAGCAGCATCTCGAGTTTTTGTCACCTCCCTCCCACTGTCGCTGTGAATAGCTGCAGGCGGTGCTCGGCTTTAGCCTTTCACCATTCGAGTGGCCTTTCTAGGAGCCTGCAAGGATCCACTTTGGACTTCCGCCACCGCTTTTCGAGGCCTGAGACAATGTGGTCTCAAAAAGACCTCGTTCGGCCGTTTTTTGCTCCTTGCTGAAGAGAGAAATAGGCGTAGAGGCTCGCGTAGGTCATTATGTGTGGTTTGAACGAGCTTCGCTAATGACTGCTCCCTAATTAAGTGCCTCTTTCAGTTTTCCTCAACCTTCCGTTTTTGAACTCAATAGGAGTCTTTCTTTTGGTCCGTGCGGTTCGATCTGGGTATTGAGGAGATCTGATTGGGCACTTAAAGTGTTCTATGGTTACCCTATCAATCAATTGTACTTTTCTCTGCATCGGTAAATAACTTGCCAGTAATCGTCACAGTGGGTGTGCCTGTGCCATGTGATTTGTCCAAAAATAGGACCGTCTACCATTGGGCAAGGCAAGTTCCTTTGATTATTTATTGCTTTTGAAGTTTTGCCTTCCACTAGGCCTATTTCGAAGTTTTTGAGGATCTCTGATTATTGAGACACAACTCCTTTTCTAGCGATGCGATAGGTAAATTTTGCTTCCTTGACACTTTCCCAAACTTATATTTCTTTTGTGGAGACCATTTCTAACTGGATTGGTACCCAATCTATGTGCCCGCGGCTCTGAGTTCAGTTCGACCACCTGGATAGAAATTCCTGTAACTCTTATGGCTTTAATACTCTGAAAATCCCTAAGTGGGAATCAATTGCATTGCCTATTCTGCTGGAATAGTCCAATACCCTATAGTTGGACACTATTAATGCTGCATGCTTTGTGCTTGATAGAAATTACTGCTATTTTCTGCCCATTTTAACGGCAAAAGGAAGCATTTCAGAAATCGTGAGTGGTGAAATGGAGTCTTTTCTTAGGCCAATATTTTGGATTGGCACGCATAGCACTGGAAGACGGTAATCGGAAAGCTACTTGCGAAGTCGTGGTTCTTCAGAAATTCACATATTTTCGTGCTTTGAGCTCTTTTTTGGGGAACTCTTGACTTTCTCTGTGATCCAGCGGCTTCATATGAGCCTTCAGTACTTTAGAACTCAGATATCTTAACTACGCAATTTACGCTTACCTAAATACGTAGGTATCGATTGCCATAAATCAATCAATAACTTTTCATTACGAGTATCGCTTGCCGTTTTCTTCTTTGTCGTTTTTCTGCCATCGACAGACCGTCGGCCGCAGCTCGTCGCCATCATCGATGCGCGGCCACGAACGCAACGGTATTTTCGATTTCACAGTCATCAACAACGCCATCGTCATCTTCTAGTGAACCGTGGCCTTCTTTTTATTGGCTGCCGTCCTATTCAATTGAGAAAGTCGATTTATTGATTGAGTTTTGGCAGTTTGGTGGTCGTGATGGGTGCTTTACAACCATACGTTGTCATATGAAAGTACTGAGTGAAGATCTAGCTGAATCATGCTCTCTATTGACCCTATCCTGTCTGGTCTACGCCATTTATTTCCTTTCAAACTCAATTGTGAAGGTGTTAGACCACATCTCCAACGGAACACTACTGTATCTTCTGTTTTGTTTGATAAGCAATTCTGCTCTGAAATCAGTTCTTCGTAGAGATGAGCTCGGTTTTTGTTGGGAACGTTTCCTGATTCCCAATGGAGGGGGTTAAAAGCTCTTCCTAATTTCTATGGCAAAAATCTTCTGTATCTTTCAAAATGCCCCAATTGCGTCCCTTTACAGCCACACCTAACATCAGGGTGATAGGTCCTTGAAGCGATCCGTAGAGTAGCAGTTGATGCTTTTGCTAAGCTTTGATTTTGCTGGTCGAGGGCAGGTTCCGAACTCGTGGGCTAGCATGAATGAACAGGTCTTTTTTCCAATTACTGTCTTGAAACTAAAGCTGGTATGACTAATGAAATTAAAACTGGGGAGAGTTTGGAAGCTTCTCATGGAAGTGAGCATACACTAAGATTATCCTGAAAGGAAT